GATATCAGTCTTCTTAAATGTATTAAGCCCTGTTTTGTGGCCTAACATGTGATCCGTTCTGGAGAATGTCCCATGTGCACTTGACCAAGGGGTGTGCCCGGGGCCCCAGACAAAAGCCAGGGCACAGGTGTGTGTGCTAGTCCCCCTTGGGAGATCCTGGTGCTCGGGGGCCTGGCAGAGGGAGGGTGCGAGGATCGTCCCGCCTTCAAGGCCCTTCGATGTGTTCAATTAGAAGCCTGCCCCGGCCCCAGCCGTGCAGAGAAGATAAGAAACAGGCCTCTTTTATAGAAGGACTGGGCTCCTCCACTGTTGCCTCTTGCTGTGCCTGGGGTAGCAGCCCATTTGAGAACTTTCTCCCTGGCTTCCTGGTCTGTGGGACTCGGAGCACTAGCCCTGTGGCCACCAGAGCCAGGTGATCTAGAGGCGGGCACTGGGCTAAGAGGAAGGATGAGACCGGGAGGTACTGGCGACCTGGGGTCACAGGGAGGGCGAGTGCGGAGGTGATGCCGCCAGCAGGAGGCGGAGGGGACAGTCCCGCAAGGACAGTGTCCGCCGTCTCCACCCCGGAGAGCACCCAGCAGCCCAGGTGCTCAGGCCGAGGCCCTAAGATGAGCAAATGAGCCTGTGCCACTTCTGCTGCTCCCGGCTGCTCGCCTGAGCTCAGGGCCCAGGGAGCAGGTGCTCCGTTCGCTCTAGTCCCCTGGGCCCGAGCCCCGTTGGTTTTCAAACCTAGAGGTTTTGGGGGCTCGTCTCTCCGGAGCAGGTCTTAAGTTGGGGTACCGATGTGGGGGTCAAACCCTTCGCTTCTTAGGGAGCTCAGAGATGCGGGTCGCCACGCCTGGCGGGTTTATGACAAGACTGCGTCTTGGCCTTTCCTACCCGCTTCGATGTAGGTTGTTTTTGTGTGTTTGTTTCCATTTGCCAGGTGTATAGGAGTTGCTCAGCTAGCTTTTAGGTTTTTTCCAGAGGAAACTGTTCCATATGTAGCTGTAGATTCGGGGTCCGTGGGAGGCTGTGAGTTCAGATCCTCCCCCGTCACCATCTTTAACCGGAACGGCCACCCTTCTCTTTAAATAGGAAGTGGTGGCCGCTGACTGCTGGCTTCCAGGGATAAAATGGCAAAGGACAGACAGGCGGCCGGACCTCAGGGAGCTTAGGTTAGAGGCAAAGTGGGGGTTACATTAATGACATCACTGAGTAATAAATGGAATTGTGAGCTGCGAGGAAGTAGAGCACTAATCAGCTAATAGTCCCAACAACCATCACCTGCCATGCTAATGCCATGAATGAGCCCTTCTCAATACATGCTCATTTCCAACTTGAAAGCAGAGAGAGAGAGAGAGAGAGAGAGAGAGAGAGAGAGAGAGAGAGAGAGAGAGAGAGGGAGAGAGAGACTGACTGACTGTCACTTATAGACTGTTAGCAGCCTGGGCATAGATTTCCTTGATTCAAAAAGCAGACACAGGTGAGGGCAAAATGTTACCATATGGCTGCTTGGGCAACAGCGAAGTCTGGTAATAAGCTTTTACTGATTCAGAAGCACTGGTTGTGCCAGCTGTTGGGGAGGGGATGGCCTGGTCCGTGTGCTCAGGAATCCAGGGAACACACCAATCAAGAGGCCCAAGGGCCACCGTCAGGCGTGCGAAAGCAAGGCCCCCTGAGCCCTTCCCCGGGCCGGCCTGCACAGTGTCCGGAGGGCCCGTGGGCCAGTTGGGAGAAAGCCGCTGGGACACGGTGCTGGGCAGGAAGGGCAATTGACGCCCGGGGAAGCGTGTCCAGCACGGTAGGACTCCCAGCTGTGTGACTGCTGAGCCGATGGGCTGCGTCTGGGGTGAAGGCATGGAGGGTGAAGAGGTGGCCACGTGGAGCTTGGAAGATGGGGGAGAGCAGCGGTGCCCAGATTTGACACGCGCCAATCACCTGGAAGGCTTACCAGCAGGCTGCGGGGTCCCACCCGTTTCTGATTCGGTCGGTCGGAGTTAGAATGTGCCTTTCTAACAGGCTCCCGGGCGATGCTGGTCTTGAGCAAGTGCTTTGAGAACCACTGGATGAGAGAGGGCAGGAAGGAAGTGGTCCAGTTGGCCACATCCAGATGTGCAGGGCAGCGGTGGCCAAACAGGATTCACTGAGCACCAGCCACTGTTCATCCCTTCACATGTAGTCTCACCTAATCCTTTAACAACTCTGACCGTCACGCTTATTCCACAGAAAACGAAGTACAGAGGCTCCACTCTGTGTCCACTGTCCATGGCATGTCCAGGGCATGTCTGTCTAAGCCAGCGGTTCTCAACCTGTGGGTCGCGACCCCTTTGGGGGCCGAACGACCCTTTCACAGGGGTCGCCTAAGACCATCCTGCATATCAGATATTTACATGACGATTCATAACAGTAGCAACATTACAGTTATGAAGTAGCAATGAAAATAATTTTATGGTTGGGTCACAACACGAGGAACTATATTTACAGGGCCAGAAGGTTGAGAACCCCTGGTCTTCTAGGCCATTAGCCACAGGCCATGTTCTCAGCTACCACATTGGAATCAACAGCAACCGCGGACGGGCCCCAGCCAGGCAGGGGCGAGAAGCCTCACCTGACCTCCAGGTTTCTGACAGGGTGACAGGCGTCATTGCCTCCAGCAGGGGTGGGGAACGTCCAGTCCTCGGGCCGTAGACCATGTGGTCTGGCCCTGCCAAGGTCTTCAGGGTGAGTGAGTTAAATGTTTGACCAAACATAGCAGGCTGCTTTGTAAGCTGATCATGCATGATGTTATAAATACTCAAATGGCCCTTGGCAGAAAAAGGGTTCCCCACCCCTGGCCTAGAACAAGTGCGTTCTGAGGGACCTCGAGCTCAGGTGTGTCATCGGGTTGAGCCTCTGGGTGCTGTGCTCTTTCCGTACAAATCCCGGTGTCCAGCGGACACTGGACGTACGGCCTGGGGCTCAGGTGACCGGGTTGGAGGTGGAAACGCCTTGGAAGCCCCAGGGAGACGAGGAAGCGGGCAGAGGAAGGGGGTGGGGCCTCCCTGAGGGACCTAGCAGCTCAGCTGGGGAGCAGGGGGAGGTGAAGGCGGAGGAGGGGGCAGGGTGATGACAGAGATAAGGCGCCTGGTTTTAGGAAGCGTGTGGAGGAGGCACACAGGCCCCGCGAGGGCGGGCAGTGCCACTGGCATTAACCACCAGGTCAGCGTGTCCTCGCCCAGGACGCGTCGGAGGCCGGGTGTACACGGAGGAGGTGAGCAAGCAGGGGGCAGCCATGGTGACTCCTCAGGAGCTTGTCCGTGAGAGCAGGGAGCTGGACAAGGCCAGGGGCCAGTAAGACCTTGAAAAGAAGCGTCGTGAGCTCGGCGACGGAGGTGGGCAGAGGGGCATGTGGCCAGCGTCAGGAGGGCAGTCCGCGGCTTCAGTAGCCCCTCTGCAGGGTGGACAGTGGCTGGGCCGGTCCTCAGGAGCTGGTCCTGAGGGCGCTCACTCTCGCTGCCTTTAGAAAGCTTGGAAGATCGGCCCATTGGGAGGCCTGGATTTGGTGTGTTTTACCCGAGGCTTATCTGCTTTCTCTAGATGGAATGTTTGGCTGTAGAGCTTTTATTCAAGGGATTGTCAAGCAGAAAAAGGCAGAATGGTCTTGTGGGAGTTCAGAGCCTTCCTGACCTGCTCTGCCCCCCCTCTGGGTGTTCCTGGAAGTCTGGGGCCGCGGAGTGCTGTCTGGGGAGCCCGCTGGGCCGTCTCCAGAGCCCACGATCTCAGGCTGCTTCACGCTCTTAAGCGAGGAAATACCGGGACCTTCATCCCAGTAGCGCGTGCTCACTGGTCAACTCACAGGGTGCCAGACGCAGGCGTGGGCGGTGGTGGCGAGGGGACACGCGCAGCAAACCTGACAAGGCCCCGCAGTCTGAGCACAGGGGTGGCCTCACCCCGTCATCCGCGAGCCCGTGAGCTGCATGGTGTCCCAGGGAGGACCCGTGACGCCTCGTCCCCCGGTCTCTGACCCTGAGGCCTCATCCTAGTTTCCTCACGTTGGGCTGAACAAAGTGGCCGTTTTTAAGGAGGATTTGCCTACACGTGTAGAGATCATCCTAGAATCAGGTGCCCAAGAAAAGAGGGAAAACTAGTGGGTTAGGAAGTCATGGACCCGCGGGGCAGGCTGGGGGACAGTGGCCCCCCAGCATGTGGGAACTACCGTGCCCTCTCCTCTGCTCAGCCAGGAAGCGACCAGCACTCTAGATCTGCCAGGTAATTCCTTGCTCCTGGCTCTTGAGGGAATCAAGCTTTTCAGCGGAAAAAAACACACCAACAAAACAAAGCCTGAAACCATCTCGGATCACCTGGCAGATCAGGGCCGTGGCCTGGTGCGAGGTAAGGACGGGGACCTGCTAGGAGCCAGGGCAGCCCGGAGGCGTGGGCACCCACAGCACCCGGGACGGCGTGCTGAGCGGCGAGGCGGAGGGGCTGGTCACACTCGCTCTTTGAAAGCAGGTGTTCTCAACTCAGTCCTGAAGCAAACAGATCGCTCTCACCTTCTTCGTAAGTGCCTTCTGGCGCTCAGCCACCTTCCGGGCGGCGATGCTGAGTCAGGAACAGCGTGTGGAAGGGGCGTGCTGTGTGATGAGCACAGGGGCTGGAGACAGAGGTTTCTGCTCCTCGGACTAACACTGGTCCAGAGACACTGGTGGGGCCCCGAGTGAGACGGCCAGTGGGGGGAGAGGGCCTCCCCTGCTGTTTATCACACCGGACGCCTAGAAACCCTTCCTGGGACGTGCATGGCTGTGAGGGCAGCAGGGGGAGTTCCAGCCATACCAGAGGGAGCCACAGCAAGGTGGCGTGGGGCGCTCAGGTACTCCAGCCAAAACGTTTCCTCGGTCGGTGACTCAGTCACCCACAGAGCCGTTTGCTGCGCTAAGTCCCAGGGCGATGCTGATGTCACTGCCGGCCCCGGGCCCCCAGCACCAGCCCGACCGCACACAGACGTCCGGTCCGCAGAAGGGAGGAGGGCACGAGACAAATTCCATTATAATAGCCATCTTTATTTGTAAAAATCCAGATATAAAATGTATTCTTTCGGTCTCTCCATGATTTCCTTTTTACAAAAACAAAAAGGCACGTAAAAACCTTCCCCGCTGTCGTTCCCACAGACGGATGTTTGACAGGCAGCCCCCCCCCCTCCCCCCATATAGCTACATGCTTCATTCCAGGACGGCTCGCTTTCCCCATGCTTCGGTGCTTCCTACCAGGGTGGAGTTCTGAGTCCTGAGACTGAAGTACACAAAGGGGTGGGTGAGGGTGCAGAGAGTGGCACGATGCTCACGGCGTGCAGGACGGGCGCTAGTAGTAGCTCTCCTTCTCCACCCAGCCTGCGGGCGGGAAAGGAAAAGGCGGTTTAGGTTTAGGTTTCGGATGGCGTTTCCCCTGCGACCTGTTTGGCTTAACGCCTTGAGGTTCGGTTCTGAGGATGGGACTGTCACTGTAGCTGGTTTCCAGTTGGTCCGAGGGCCTCAGCCAATCAGGCCGAGCCCAGACACTTCACAGGAAACATAACAAAAGCCCGCAGACTA